GAGCACAGGTTCAAATCCTGTTGGTGTCGTCTTTTTGCATTTTGTGTGATCCAAGTTCGACCTAACATATTTCACGATTTTCCTCTGGCGTAAATGGACGCGTCGGCGTGTCGAGAGGCATGGTGAGCCCAGACGCTCGCCCCTTTTTTGGCCGCGCGTGTTGGTTGGGAGTGGAGCGAGCGAGGGACGCGCAGCTGCCAACCCATGCCGCTCTCGACTCGGCTCCTCGAAGATCCGCCCGCACCTCTCTTCATCTTCCCTCTCCGCTTTCCCACGACGTCGGAACAAGCCGACGAAACGCTCACGCTTTCACACTTCCAACATGCCGGATCAGCCGAAACTCGCAAAGTTCTTTGGCGGCGGAGCGAGTGCCAACGCCGCCCCATCGTCATCGTCATCGTCGGCCAAATCACGCCAGCTCGACCTCAAGTCGGCATTCGCCCCGAAAGCGTCCAGCTCGACCAAGCGCGAGGCGACCTCGACGCCGCCTTCCACCTCGACAGATGTAGTGCCAACTCCGGAGGCGCCCGAGGCATCACCATCACAGCCGGCTGTGCCGCAGAGAAAGAAGCGCAGGATCGTCGAATCCGACGACGAGGACGGTCCCGACCCGGCGCCTACACCAGCCGCACGCAAGCAGGCACCCGTCGCAGCCATCTTTGCCAAAACGTCAGCGGCGACTACCCCAAGCACATTAAAGCAAAGCGACCCTATCGACGTCACACACAGCGACGCTGCTTCCGACGACGGCGGCTCGGAGGTGGAGGAGCCCGAGGACGACGATGAGGACGAGGACGACGCCGACGCCCAAGAGGAAGAGCAAAAGGGCGCCAAGAAGCTAGCTGCGATCTTCCAGAAGCCGTCGCAGGTGCGCGACACCAAGGTGAGCTGGAAGCAAGGCGAGCCTGTCCCCTACGCGGCGCTCGCCGCCGCCTTCAGCGAGATCCAGGCAACAACGAAGCGGCTGGAGATCACCGAGATCCTGACGCAGTTTCTGGTGCGCGTGATCGAGCGTTCGCCCGACAACCTGCTGCACGTCGTCTACCTCTGCATCAACCGGCTGTGTCCCGACTACGAAGGTCTCGAGCTCGGCATTGGCGAGTCGCTGCTCATCAAGGCCATCGCCCAGTCCACGGGGCGCGAAGTGCCACGCATCAAAAAGGACCTCGAGTCGCTCGGCGATCTCGGGCTGGTGGCGCTCAACTCCAAGAAGAACCAGCCGACCATGTTCAAGGTGAGCAGCCTCAAGGTGCCCTCGGTCTTCAAGCAGCTGCGCGACATTGCGCTCGTGGCGGGAAACAAGAGCCAGGATCGCAAGATCGGCATGATCAAGAAGCTGCTCGCGGCGTGTCAGGGCGAAGAACCCAAGTTCCTCATCCGCTCGCTCGAGGGCAAGCTGCGCATTGGGCTCGCGGAACGTTCGGTGCTCGTCTCGCTCGCCCGCGCCGTCGTCATCTCCAAACTCGGCAAGTCGATCGCAAAGCTGCCGCAGGAGACGCTGGCGAGCAAGCTCGAGCAGGGGACCGAGGTGGTCAAGGCCGTATACTCGGAACTGCCCTCGTACGATCTCGTGATCCCTGCACTGCTCAGGGGTGGTGTCGAGGGGCTGCGCGACGAGTGCAAGCTCACGCCCGGCGTGCCGCTCAAGCCCATGCTGGCCAAACCGACCAAGGCGATCAGCGAGGTGCTGGACCGGTTCGAGGGGCAGCCGTTCACGTGCGAGTACAAGTACGACGGCGAGCGCGCGCAGGTGCATCTGCTGGCGGACGGCAAGCTCGCCGTGTTTTCGCGCAACTCGGAAAACATGTCGGTCAAGTATCCCGATCTGGTCGAGCAGATCCCGCGCTGCATCCGGCCCAGCGTCAAGTCGTTTGTGCTCGATGCAGAGGCGGCGGCGTGGAAAAAGGCCGAGCTCAACCCCGACACGGGCGTTGAGGAGCCTGCCAAGCTGCTGCCCTTCCAGGAGCTGAGTCGACGCAAGAGGAAGGACGTCAAGGCGGCCGACATCAAGGTCAAGGTCAAGCTGTTTGCATTCGACCTGCTCTACCTCAACGGCGAGCCGTTGCTGTCGCGCCCGCTCGACGAGCGTCGTCAGCTGCTGCTCGACCATTTCACACCTGTCGAGGACGAGTTTGATTACGCAAAGGCCGAGGACGGCACGTCGGTCGAGCAGATCGAAACCTTCCTCGAGCGCTCGGTCAAAGAAGGCTGCGAAGGGTTGATGGTCAAGATGCTGCGCGGGCCCGATTCGACCTACGAGCCCTCGCGCCGCTCGATGAACTGGCTCAAGCTCAAAAAGGACTACCTGGCAGGCACGGGTGACTCGCTCGACCTGGTCGTCATCGGTGGCTACCTGGGCAAGGGCAAGCGCACCAACGTCTACGGCGCTTTCTTGCTCGCCTGCTACGACCCGGACTCGGAAAAGTTCCAGTCCATCTGCAAGATCGGCACCGGCTTCACCGAGGCCGACCTGGACGCCCACTACGCCACGCTCAAGCAGCTCGAGATCGGCGCGCGCAAGCCGTACTACGACGTGGGCGATGCCAAGCCCGACGTCTACTTTGACGCCAAGGTCGTATGGGAGGTGCTTACCGCTGATCTCAGTCTCAGCCCCGTCTACACCGCTGCCAAGGGGCTCGTGGATCAGCGCGGGATCAGTTTGCGGTTTCCGAGGTTCATCCGGATCAGGGACGATAAGGCGCCAGAGGACAGTACGAGTCCCGAGCAGATCGAGAGCATGTATAGGGCGCAGGCGGTGAACAGCTCCAAGTCCAAGTCGGCGCTGGATGAAGACGATGGCTTCTGGTAGTGCGCCAATAAAGATTGCATTCGACTCGAACTAGGCGCGCGCGTGCGATGGCTGCGCGGCTTGATACGGTAGCCACATGGCCGATTCGTACGAAGCCGGCTGGGAGACTGTGTTTGGCACTGGTGACGATGTGGGGAGGAAGAAGGCGGTGGTGGTGGGGGCAGGGAGGACCGTGATGCGCTGGGCAGCATTGGTGATGTATGTTTCGCACGACGCCTGCTGGTGTTCTGGTAGGAGTGGATGCACGACCACATGCGGCAGAGCCACGGCTCCCGTCCGCAGCGGCACCGCCGTGAGCGTGAGTGTTACACTCGCCTCTTGCTCTGATGCTGCAATGGCGAAGCTGCCTCGCTTCTGCCCATCCACTAGCCACGTTTCAAAGTCCGGCACCACATCCCAGATCATCTTTGCAGCCTCCGCACTCGTAGCCCACTGGCGCGATACTGTGATAGCTACGGTCAACTGCACCGGCTGACCCACGACTAGGGCAGTGTCGTCGCTCAGCGGTGCGCCCACATTCAGCGTGACGGCGTTGACGTACTCGACGCTGGGTACGTCGACGGGGATGGTAAGCGTCTGCCACGTGTCGTCTACATCGCCATCGCGTGCAGCCGAGGCTACTGCGTCGAGCGCCCTAGTGACCGTGGCGAGCACATCGGCAAACGATGCAGGCGCTTGGCCCCACGTGCGCCATTCGGTGCGCCACCACGCTGCATCCACCTCGCCAGTCCTCACACCGCCGGTGATGGAAAACGCAGGCAGATCCACGCGCTCGCCGACGTACACCCGCAGCGCCTGCTGCACCAACCGCGTCGCCTCCATCCCCCAACTCTGTGTCTGCAGCGCACCAACGGCTAGCGAAACAGCCTCCTCGTGTAGCGACCGGTAGTTGACCGTGAGCCGTAACCTCCCCCTCTCTGCGGGGCGGGCGGTGTTGACCATGCGAAAGAGGTATGTTGCTGGCTGACGTGGCGTCACGGTTGCCTGACGCGCCGACCCGCACGCGGTGATCTCGAGCGTGCCTGCTGCGTCGCCATCGTGGTCGAGCCGAACAGGCTGCAGCCGGATGCTGCCGGCGCCTGCGGCCGAGATGGTGAACTTGGACAGCAGCGAGGCGGTGCGGAAAAAGTCCTGCACATTCACGCCCAGTGGCAGAGCGGTGCGCAGCTGCACCCGCGTCGTCAGCACGCGCTTCTTGCCCAAAGCTCTCTCGCCCGCGGCGCTGATGTACGACAGCGTCACTACAGCGTCCAGAACCCCCGACTCGGGCACATGCAACAGTGGGACGGTAAAGCGTACCTCCTCGTCCGAACGCAGCGTGGTCAGCGACACACAGTCCGCCGCAGCCTCAGTGGCCGGTGCCTCGCTTTGCGCCACGACCGAAGAATAATCGACGAGCGCAGTGCCGTCGGCAGCACCCACGCGCATCTCGACGCTGTCGATACGGTGGCGTCCCGCGCAGACTGTGACTTGCACCTCGCGCGTCCGGTCCAGGTGGATCCTCCTCGGCAGCGACAAGGCCACACTGGGCGCTGCGCCGTCCTTGGGCACGCGCACCACCGTCGGCACAGCCGCCGCCGCGTCGTACTGAAAGATGAGCCGGGCGAGGCGGATCTGTGTCACATCCACCGTATACACGCCATGCGCCGGATGCGCGTTGAACAGCTCCACCCGGTTCCTCCCCGGCTGCAGAGTCGTGCTGCCCGAAGTGTACCAGAGCGACTCGGCGTGCTTGCCGACCACACACATGCGCACGTCTTGCACCAGCTGTGCGCACGGCAGCATCGACGTTACATCCACCGTGACCACCGATCCGTCCTCGCTCTCCACCAGCTGTGCCGTACCGCTTGGCACCACGATGGCAAACAGAGGGAATCCGCTGACGGGGATCTCGCGTTCCATTGCCGACGACGCGCGCCGCAGCTCGTCGCACACATACGCCGGGTCGGTCCACTTTGCCGCCTCCGTCCCGGCGATCTGTGCGCGGGCGCGCGTCTGGACACTGGCGCGCAGCACCGCCAACGCCGCTGCCACCCACGCGCGGTCTCTGGGCAGGCCGAGTTGGGCGTGGCACTCGAGCTGCAGAGCCAGCGCATGCGCCTCGAGCAGGCTGAACCTCGCCGTGGCGTAGGCATCGCTGATGGTGCACAGGCTCGTGTGGGCTGCAGCGTAGTCGGCGCGCAGGTAGCGCAGCATGGCCATGACGAGACGCACGTGCAGCGTGTCGCGGTGGCGCGATGCGGCTTTCCAGCCGGCGGCGATGCGCTCGCACAGCGCAAGGTAGTGTGAGTCAAAGTGCTCGCGCGACTCGATGGCCTGCTTGAGCTCCGGCCGCGACGGCATGCGCTTCTCGTCGAGCTGCAGCGCTGGGCCCAGCCCCGCAGCACCCTCGCCGGATGCGTCGTCTGGAAGCGCAGGCAGATCTCGATTCCTCGCCGTGTCCGTAGCGCCGCTGTCGGAGGGGCAGACAAAGGGGTCGAGTTCGGGCAGATGGCCGGCTTGGATGCCGATGCGGTCGAGTTGGCGACGTGCGAGGTCGAGCAGCTCGGACTTGTTGGACTGGAACGCGGGCGTGAGCTGGTCCACGCCCTGGTCGGACGTGGCGGCGCTGCGCTGTATCAGCCAGGCCTGGCACTGCTCGACGACATCGAGCGCGGCCGAGAAGATCCACGACTCGATCCACTCGCTGCCGAGTCTGGGATTGCGGCGCAGCATGCGACCGACTGCGGCGATAAAGAGCGGCGCCTCGCGCATCACCGCCGCCACCCTGCCCATCTTTCCGAGCAGCGCCGACTTGCGCGCAAAGAGGTAGCAGCGAAAGTCAAAGAGCGAGATTTCGTTGCGCCGGATGAGCTCTGCATACGGCTTCTTGTGCACGTCGAGCAGCGGGAGCGAATCGTCGTTGGCGTCGTCGCCTCCGATGGGTGCGAATGCGACGGCGCCCGTCTGCATGGCCTGGGCAAAGACGATCTCCAGATCCTCATATTGGCCCACGGCGTCGTCCTTGAGGCCGACGGCATCGAGCGTGCGCGCCAGCGAGTCCTTGGCGAGAAAGTAGCTGCAAAAGTCCCAGCCCTGCTGACCCTTTGTGACGCCGCAGCGTGCGATCTCGTGCTCCTGCGCCTCGATGGTGGTGGTGAAGGTGGCGGAGGCGGCCTCGCGCATCTTGGTGAGCAGCTCGGCCCAGATGGTGGGGTCCATCGAGTGCAGGCCGGACCGGGTGAGCGGCACGGCAGGCACGGGTGGCAGCCGCGAGATGTGCACGACGTGCTCCTTTTTGGAGGTGCTAAAGTCGGCGCGCGCCTTTTCGAGCACATTGGCCTTGGACTTGTTCATGAAGCGGCCCATGCCGGTCTTTGCCTCGGCGGCGGGCGTGGCGTTGGCGAGGCCCGAGATGCCGGCGCCCTCGGGCGGCGTGATGAGCACGATCAGGTACTCGGGCTCCGTCGGCACGATCGATATGGACGCAGGCAGCGTGGCTTTGGACGCCGCAGCCGAGGTGGTGGGAGTCTGTGGGCCCGATGCCGTCGCGGGCGGCGTGTCGGAGCGCACGGGCGGCGTTGCGGATCGCAAGGAGCCCAGGCCGAGCGAGGTGCGCGAGGAGGATGCGAGCGTGGGCGTGCCCGGAGCCGGATTGTTGGCGCCGACACCTGGCTGTCTGGCGTGAAAGAAGGAGAGGCTGCTGATCCAGGAGCGGATCTCGTTGCGCACTGTGGTGCGGTAGTGCTCGCTGTCCTCGCACACCACGAGGTAGAGATGCACAAACGGACGGTCGAGCAAGCCGGCGCCACCGGGCTGCTCAAAGTAGCCTGGATCGCCTCTCCATCTGCGAATCTCGTCGGTGAGTGGTTTTAGGGCCACGTCGAGCGTCTGGATGGTGCGAATGGTCGATCCGGGCGCGAGCGAAGACGACGCCTGGGCAGGCTTGCCCTGCTGGGCTGCCCTGGCTGCGACGGCATCGAGCGTAGATTGACTCGGACGCCAATGCAGGTTGCGCAGCGGCAGCTGCTGTTGAAGCAGGTTGATGAAGTGCGGCGCGAGAGGAGCGGCCAAGAGCGGCTGGGAAGCCGCAAAGGTGACGGTGATCCTCTCGCTGGCAGGCGACGACTGCTCGGCCATGGTGATGCGTCGCCAGGTTGGTGGGAGCTGGCTCGCGTCCCCTCCTGCTTTGCGAGGAGGTTGCAAGGAGGCTGCGAGGAGGTGACTGCTGGTGGTGCCAAGTGAGGATTAGGAGCGCAACGATGCGACACCGGCAAGGAGGGTCTGTGCATTGGAAGAAAGCGTATGATGGTAGCTTCAGAAGTCTAACACCACCTTAAAAAACCAATCCTCGCCCGATAAGATAGCCCGCATCCAGCCGCGCACAGACCCTGGCACCATGCCTGCAACGTTGAGGAGGACGTGGTGGTAGTGTCGAGCTGCACGCTGCAATCTCGGAGCTCGATGGTCGGCTGCGTCGTGTCGATGATGGCCGCTAAGCAGAACGGCGCTAAAGTCGGCCTACTTTGCGCCATGGCTCGGACCGAGAAGAGAAAAACGAAGAGGCGATGGCGATGCTGACTCCACATTTCTCCTTTTTTTTTTGTCACTTTCCTGAGCCCTTTTTCGAGCCTTTTTTGAGCCTTTTTCGATGCGGAATCCGAAAATTTGGGCGGCTGCAGAGCGATGTCACTCTCGATGGAGCCGCTCCAATGTGTTGCTCGAGGAGGAGGAGGAGTGTCGTCTTGGATCCGCTCCACCACCACCATCGTTCACATCATAGATCCCAGCAGTTGGGGCGGCATCTTTCTGGTCGACCATTGCACGTGCTCCTAGCATCTCCCGGCATCCAGCATCCCTTGGGCTGAGAGGGTCGAGGAGCTGCTGCGCTCGTATTCGTGTCCATGTCCAGCTCGACGCAATCGACGCAATCGCCGCGACCATCCTCGCCCATCGCCACACGGCGTCCTTCCAGCCGTCGAGCCTACTCGCACGCCTCGCGCATCTCTGCAGCTACTGATGACGCCACCGACGACGGTTCCGAGGCCACCGCGCCCGCCCAGACCATCCGCGATGTGTCGCAGGCGTTTCGATCCGGCAGGCCCAGCCCGTACCACATGGCGGTGGTCACGCTGCTCGGAAGCCTAGCAAGCGGAATGCCCCTCGCCTCCATGTTCAAGGTGTACACCTACATCATGTGCGAGGTGTACGATCCCTCGATCCGCGACGAGCCCATCTCGCACAAGTCCAGATCCAGCCGCCTCGTCGCCGCAGCACGCAACATGATCGCACCCGCATCCGCATCCGCATCAGCGACCGCATCGGCGACCGCAGCCGTGATGAAGCTGCCTCCAGCACCGGAGCTGCCCAATCCACC